TAATGGGTGAACCGAGGTGTAAAGACCGATGTTTTATATGAACGAGCAAGTATAATTACAGTTCGACGTTCAAGTAATTAGACCGACGATATCAATTAACCGGCGTTCGTTAGACGTTATGTAAATCAGTGAATCAGTTTTTAATCAGGTGCAACACCGGGGATAAAAACGGGTCGAATGAATCATTTGCTTGTGAACGTTGCTTTAAGGGGCCAGGACAGTTTGACAGGCCTAAAAATTACGAATACTTCGAAGGGCTAGTAAAAAGATTGACATGAGCTTTTGTGGTTTATTTTAACACATTACGACAGCATACTATAAAGAGCAACATTAAAAGAGAAAAAAAGAGGGCTCTTATTTAACTTTTTAACGGCATCCTTTTACATGACTTTTTTTTTTTTACGTTGCCTATCGGTGTGCATGATTCCAGCCAAACAGGATTAGTTGCAACAAAGAGGCAAAAAAAAGTTCAAAAGTAAACGATATTCTCTCTAGGGATTGACGATCCAACATTTTCATTTTTGTGAAAATTATGAAAATGGCAGCCATTTGTTTTTGATGTATCGAATTTATGCCAAAAATTTCTACGTTTTTTGTTTATATCTTTCGAAATTGTTAAAAATTAAAAAAACGTTCGATCGTCAATCTTTAGTAAATGTCAGACTAAAGACACGTACCAAGTTTCACAGTAATCGATTTGTTCGATATCTTGCACACCGTTTCTAAAAACCTAATTTCGAGAGAAACGCGTTCAAAATTTCAGAATGTCATGTATCCTTTACTTATTTTTTTTTACTTGTATATCGCGGCTCATAGTTCTCACAATTCACAACTAAATTGAACCCAAGTCCCCTGATATTCGATTCACCAAAAGTAACATTTGAATCGCACGATTTACACTTTATAATACTGCTTAAAGTTGTAAACAGTGATACAAATTCAATTATTCTCTGTCCGCGGATTTATTATTACATCCCTTAAATAAGTCACTTTAAAGGCCAGGACCTTTTGTATCTTGTTTCTAAGGCTTCAGACTACTGTTTAAAACAAAACAAAAAAAAAGTCGATTTCAAACCTTAAGATTTAAGCTTTAGACTCACGTATTGTGTACATACGTACGTACACATCTTGCTCTCTTCATAATTGCACACGCCCGCTGAATATTGATACGTGTTACCACGTGTTAACCCACCCACTATCGCGTTGCACGTTTCAGCAAAGTATATCTGCTCGGCAGTTCATCGGAATTTTATTGTCATTCGATATTTGTGTAGATTAGCCGGTAGTCAACGTTCGTACTCCGATCGATTCCGATTTCATGTTCGAATTATCTCAATTGTTCGTAATTTGACACTCGAAACACACTTGTCCAATTTCTAATCTCCAATCCGCTTCATTCTCGCGCAGATAAAGGATTCATTGGCGCTTGTAAAATTTCGCTGCTATGCAGCATCGTCCAGTTCAATTATGCAACACTGTGTGGATGATTCATGCTCGTGTGATTCATACATACCTTGACATTCAATGATACTTTATTTACTGATCGATGCATCAAGTATGCCTAATTGGAGCTCTGGTGTATAGGGTGGAAGTTTGCCGATCTTCTCTAGACTCTCGCAAGATCGCAATTCGCGATAAATGAATGCAACTGATGGGAGCATTGCGTTTAATCATTGCCGTTGACATACTTTCGGGACAATTGCGTGTAAGAAATATTATTCATTCGAACTATCATATTTTGTAAATAAATTGTGCAATTTTATTTAATTCAACCACTGTAATTTTATCGATGTACTATGAACAATCGTATCCGTCAGCAATAATCTCAGACTTTCGAAATTCTTGTACAAATTTGTTTGCAAAATCTACTTTAATCGTCATTTAAATTATAAAGATTTATACATAGAATATTTTAACACGATTATTATAGCGTTAATAGTGTTAATTTTCGCTTATTTATTTATTTATATTAAAATTTTTTCTTATAATATTATTTACTTATATTTTTTCTTATAATATTCTTTACTTATTTATAGTAATATTTTTTCTTATAATATTCTTATAATATTCTTTACTTATTTATATTAATATTTTCTCTTATAATATTCTTATAATATTCTTTACTTATTTATATTAATATTTTTTCTTATAATATTCTTATAATATTCTTTACTTATTTATATTAATATTTTTTCTCATAATATTGTTATGATATTCATTATGAATTTATATTAATATTTTTTCTTATAATATTCTTATGATATTCTTTACTTATTTATATTAATATTTTCTCTTATAATATTCTTATAATATTCTTTACTTATTTATATTAATATTTTCTCTTATAATATTCTTTACTTATTTATATTAATATTTTTTCTTATAATATTCTTATAATATTCTTTACTTACTTATATTAATATTTTTTCTTATAATATTCTTATGATATTCATTATGAATTTATATTAATATTTTTTCTTATAATATTCTTATAATATTCTTTACTTATTTATATTAATATTTTTTCTTGCAATATTCTTATAATGTTCTTATAATATTCTTCATTTATTTACATTAATATTTTTTCTTGCAATATTCTTATAATATTCTTTACTTACTTATATTAATATTTTTGACCAAAGTCAAGTGCACATACGTGTGACTGAAATTTGCCACCGACAAATGTAACCTTCTCATAATTTGGCAAAAAGTCATTTGAAGCCGGGAGGGAAAAGTGGCGCGCCACGTGAACACGGACATCGGGCCGGAATAGAATGGAAGAAGCAACAGTATTATGTTTCGTTGCAAAGTCTCTCCGGTGGTCCACCTGTCGGCGTAGCACCTGCCTTTCGTAACCACTTAATGCCGACGTTAATGACCATTCATGGATCGTTGGTTATACGACATGTGGGCAATAAGGTGGAATGCGATTTATTCGCCGCGTTTACGTCGACAGCCGTTGATGCTCCTTTTTTCCAAATTTCCTTCCCGCTTTTGGAAAGGCGAATTAACTGGGTTTGCATCGATCAGTTTGCATTAAATTAAGCAGTCAGTGTTTCGTGGTCTTTGTATTTCAACCCATATCTGGTACGATATCCAACTTCGATCCATTTTAAATTTTACCATTCAATTGCGACAATTTTATCATTTTTAATTTTCGTCCACATTATTTTACCATCTTACCATTTTTAATAGTCCACATTATACATTAGTTGTAATGACAATTTTTTCTTCAAAATCAATAAAATGGCATCAACCGGGAACACGAGTGCAAATTATATAGACGACACGGATGAATTTTAATCCACGATATGCATACATACTTATAATCACAATTTTAACTTTAAAATACTTTTTTTTTTTTAATATGTAAAATATGTTACATATTTTGTTAAATATTATTAGTAAAATGGTATTAACCAAGAATATAAGTGTAAATCATATTGCCACGATAATGGTGACACAAGTAAATTTTAATCCACGATATACATATTTATAATCACAATTTTAACTTTAAAATACGTTTTTTTTTTTTTAATATGTAAAATATGTTACATATTTTGTTAAATATTATTAGTAAAATGGTATTAACCAAGAATATAAGTGTAAATCATATTGCCACGATAATGGTGACGCAAGTAAATTTTAATCCACGATATACATATTTATAATCACAATTTTAACTTCAAAATACGTATCTGTTAAAATATGTGAAAAAAATCAATGAAGTGGCATCAACCAGGAATATAATCGGGCTTAAATCGTACCGCCGCGCGAACGAATTAATCGGCGTAATTAGAAGCTAGATTGTATTAGTTGGAAATCAATTACGTATCCTGTTCTTTCACCTTGCGAGGCCGTTGACACTGTAACAAATTAATCGAGGCATCCCGTTTAAGGTCGTTCGCATGACCCTCCGCTCGTTCATGGGAATTCGTTTCGCAATTCCTTCAGGTTTTACTCTATTGATTTGTTCCGCGAAGACAATGAATACTCGCGAGGGTGGTACGTGAAATTGCCCCGTATAAAAGCGTATTATCTTGCAGCGTGGCTTTCGAACCTTATAAATAATTGAATTCTAAATCTAAGAAGCTAAGATTGTTAACTGGCGAACGGAGTCTCGAGATCTCGAGGCTTCGTTCGCCAGTTAATTAATCCGTTTCCTATCGAACGAAATACTTTGCAGATCTAAACAGATTTAAACAATTTAATTCAGTTAAATATTCCACAAATAACCATTAGAAAAATCAATTAGCTAATTAAGTAAGAAAGAAACATCTCACTCTGAGAAACGCTACAATTTTTAATATTACATTGGTACCATAGAAATTTTAATCTTTTTTTTTTTTCTTACGAACTATTTAAAGTATTGTTATTTCGTTAATTAATTTAAATAGTTTTTCTTACAGAACTATTTAAAGTATTACGATTTTGTTAAATAATTTAAATAATTTTTCTTACAAAACTATTTAAAGTATTATTATTTTATTCAATAATTTAAATAGTTTTTCTTACAAAACTGTTTAAAATTTATTATTATTTCATTAAATAACTTAAATAATTTTTCTTACAAAGTAAATATTTAAACTATTATTATTTTACTAAATAATAAAATGTATTTATTAAAAAAATTTTAATACAAAATATTTCGCCAATTACACCATAATTATACATGCTTTTTTCCCGTTTTTTTTCTTCTTTGTTAAAAAAATAAAATTAAATAGTTTTTCTTACAAAACTGTTTAAAGTATTATTATTTCATTAACTTAAATAATTTTTCTTACGAAGTAAATATTTAAACTATTATTATTTTACTAAATAATAAAATATATTTGTTAAAAAAATTTAAATACAAAATATTTCGCCAATTACATTATCACACCATAATTATACACGCTTTTTTTTCTGTTTCTTTTTTTCTTCTTTGTTGAAGAAATAAAATTAATTTCGAAGAAATCGTATAAAAGGAACCTTTCACAGCTGTCGCGTTTCACTTGCAGACGCGACTGTGATCACGAGCGACGACGCCCTGCAAGGGTACGACCCCCAGTTCATGGTCGGCTGTTACTTCCCCGCGGAATTCCAGGGTGAATTCGTGACACAGGTGAGCGGAAACGAAGCCGGCGGTACGAGCAACGAGCCCACTCAATACTCCACCATCAACATCACGTTCAACGCGATCCCCGTATGGGGTTACTGTCACAGGAGAGTTGGCGATAACGTGTTGCTAATGGACAGGTAAGGTTCTACCTTAATATCACCACAGAGTTCACTTATTCCAACGACCTTCACGCAATCACGACAATTGCCATTTATTCGATTGCCACCTCCTCAACCGTTAGCTCGGTACACGCGAGAGTGAATTGTTTTAAGGGGAGATGTTAGATTGCACTGAATTTAGAAAGTGAAAAACTGAAGGAACGATATGAACAGGTTCAAGAGTGCAGTTTAACAAACACATCTCCGATCGCGGGATGTATTCTTGGTACGTAGTTTTAATAAACGTCGGTGGTTCGGTCGATTGTTCAGAATTTATGTTTAGTCTGCGAACAAGTGCTGGTCTATTAATGTCGAGCCGCGTTCAAATCCGTAACTGAGTTACGGGATTGCACGCTTACTTAACGCGCATCCTTAGGGATGGCCCCGACGCGACGTCTACACTACGTCTGGGATGGAAATAGACCGGTCTCCAGACGATGTCGGCCTGTACTTTCTCCTCTCGCGGCTATAATTATACGAGAAAACGTATTTAGAATTATTCAACCGTTCGTATTGATTGAATTATTATTATTATTTTTTTTTTTCAATTCTTCATTCACCTCGAAAGTAGCTTCGATAAGAAATAGATCCATGGTCCTTCGTTCCTTCTTTGAATAAAGAATAAATGAAAATCGAACGAGGTGAGCTCACGTATGTATGTATGTGCATTTCAGGTACGGCGATGGCGACTGCATCCGATGCTTCCGATTGTTAAGGAGATCCCGCAACGTCATAGAGGTGTTCTCTAAAGATCTGAACAGGTGTTACACTTCAGAAGCCACTGCTTTGGCCTCCTGCGATTCATTAAATTCCACCTCGATTTTATACCGTATGTGTTCCAAGCAACCAGCTCCAAATATTCACATTGAAAAACGTTCTCATCTGATTGCTTGATCATCGTTTGCACAGGTACCAGGGAGATTGGAAATATTCCCATAAGAAACGAGTACTGTCCGATAACTGGCCAGTATCACTTCACCTACAGTCTTAATAATGGATCTAGCAAAGCTATCGAGTGCAACAGCTTCTCGTCTTCTTTCCACAACTGTCCCGACGGCTCTGTCTTGAGATTACACTTCAATCGTTGCAACTTTGAGCCTCACAGTAATTTTCTTCTTTTTACTTCCCTTCTTATGTATGTAAATGAAGATGACTAATGTATTTGCTACGTGTGTTTCAGTGAATCTTACATTCAATTGCTTGGGCAACTGGCCTGGCCCGAACGGTTCTACTTACTTTGCTCTGATGGACATCAGTGCAAACTATGAAGGTCGTCCGCAATACAGATGTGGGGTAAATACTGAGGATACAGTATTTCATTTCTTTGTGTTATACATTCCTTTAATGAAAGGATTGTTTTTAGCTATTTCACGTTGACAATAAAAAAGGGAAAACGTACATGGCACTGAGCAGCGATTCGAGCTGTACACAGAATTTGGATAATTCCACTAGTGGATACGAAACGTTGGTTCTTAGTAAAGTTCCCAATCAGAAGAAGATGCCAAATTATGTAAAGACTCACGTAGCAACGTCAGTATATTTTTCTCCTTGTATCTAGTAATTAAATACTTCTGATGATCTTGTGATTTTGCAGTGATTTTCTATTAGATTATTTAATTAATCAGACTCTATTTCTGACTTTTAGATTCCCAAAATGGGCACAGGGTGTGTGGGAAGAGTCTCTGATTATCAATGGCACTATGACTTTCACTGATCTCAATGGTTATAATAGTTATACGTTCATCACCGTTGATTCGAATGAAGAAACTGGTCGTTACATTGTTTACTCCAAAAATCAATGGTGAGATGATCTAGAGACACTGATCTAAAAATACTTCTTTACATTCGTATTTAAAATAACAAAAATACTTTCAGCGAACAAGTGGCTTACGTGTGTTTAATGATGAGGCAACGAAGTGAAAATGTATTAGAATTTGCAATAGGTATTTACTTTTTGATCATTATCTCGGTCGTCCACGGATATTAATTGAATTATTCAGTTTGTTAAATGATTAATTTTTCTGTACAGGAATGGTATTAAATCCAACTTATCAGTCTTATTTGTGCGATGATGTTAATTTAGACAAACCAGTTTGGATGACACAAGCACGTAAGTTAATTTCAAAGAAGAAAAGATGCAAATACTTAATAGCCATTTCAAGGTGAGAGATGATAACATTAAATCAGATGATTTTAAAATTAGGGATTGAACGTGCGGTAGAATCACCTTGCCCAATTACTGGACAATACATGGGCATGATAACTGACCTATCAGGAATGTGTGCTGAATTAAGCAGCAACTGCAACACCCGCGAAATAATGTATTTCAAAGTTACTGATTGCGAATCCGGAGAGCTCTACGAAGGTATTTAAATAACTTAAATAATCGAAATTCATTGAAACTGAAACTCAAGAGAAGAATTTAATATTTTAGAACGAACATATTTGTGTCTGGGACAATGGGAAGAGAAAGGTGTCATGTATGCGTATACTATGAGAAATGATACCAGTACGAACGAATGTTTCGTTGGCTTGATCGTAAATGACGAAGAAATCTATATCAAAGAAGCGGGAGATCATTGCATGAGAAATATTGATCCTAAGAAAGAAGGAATGCGGTTGTATAAGAAGGGTAGGTTTTTAAACTAGGATCAAAAGTTAAGTTAATATTTAATATCAAAATTGTATGTTTAATGACGAAATGTAATCAGGTCAGTGTTATGGAAATTCTCCAAGTCCTGCGCCAACGCCAATGAAACCAATCCCTCACAATCCGATAATGAGAATCACCACAACTCCGCGGTCGAGAATATCAGGTAAAAATAATATTATGAATATGTGATTAACAACATTATACTTTATAGATTTTATAATATAATTAATTATTTTGTCACGATAACAGGTACAACCAACATATCAGGAAATAATATCCCATCATTTGCTGCATGCAAAGCCACTGTATCTTATCCTTTCGTGATATTTACAATGATAATTACATTTTCACGAAACATTTACATGTAAGTTTAACTAGCAACGCCATTAATAATGACCAATGAACTAATGAGTGAAACGTAGAACAAAAAAATCTTACTGTCATGAAAAGAAGTCATAAGAGTTTTTTTTCAATTCTATCAAGATAAAGATAAAAATTCAAGGAAGCAAATATCATACATGAAGTATATTTGGAACAATATCTATGCATTACTAATAATAGTAAATGATCAGGGAACAAAAAGTATTTAAATATTTTATGGGTATTGAATACTTAATGAGCAACTATATATCATTATCATATTATTGATATTTCTCTTTAATGGTGTATTTTCTTATCACACACCATTAAAGTTTATTTTGCATTTGAAAAGTGTCTTCAACAAATATTTTTGTAGATACATAGATCTTTGTTACATTTCTTCACCAAACACTGCCTTGTAAGATACAAATAATAGTAAACTCTATGTCTTGTTAAGAAAATCCAAAGAAATTGTCATACAATATTTTCTGACTTTAATACATTTTTCAGTAATCATATAAATAAAATTAGTAATAAGACTGATTAATAACACTGTACAGAATGATTCATCAATAACAAAATATATATATTTTTCAAATTTGTACTTAAAACAGAAACTAATTACTTTTTTTTTTGTATGTATAACGTATAATGTATAATATGATACTTCGATGATAATTAAAAACTTAAAGTAATATACAAGATAATAATCAATCTTAGGGTACAATGCAGCTTGTTCTCTGTGATTCCGAAAAAGAATTTTATATGAGCGTCAATAAATTTTACGATTTTTATATAATTATTAAATTAAATTTAACATTGATTTTTACGGTTAACATAAACAAGTGTCATACTTGTATCTGAAGTAGGATTTTTATGAGCGAGTACTGTGGTTTACACTTTTATAAAATGCTTTTATACATATAATTCATTTTTATATTTATATTATAAATGTATATAAACATGTATTTATAAACTTATACCTTATCTATTAATGTATAGAACCGATGATACAGTAATATTTACAATGTAGATAATATTTCTCCAGTCATACTGTGTATAAATTTAAATAATAAGTCCATCAGATGCCAAATTAATTCCCATTGCCAATTCTTTAACATTAACGATTACTTTTTTAACTTCAGCATTTGTAATGCTTATTTTTTAGACATATTGAAACATATATGAAAGGCATATTAAAAAAAAATACACTTATTTATTAGCACTATGGTGATGAATATTTTATATATTGTCAATCAAGCAGATTCATATTTTGCAAATTAATACAAGATATCAATTATAAAATATTAAAATTAACACAAAAAATGCAACATTTTTATACAAAACAACTATCTAAATGCAAATATAAAATTAAATGATTCTATTTATCTTCAATTTATACTACCATCTTGGAATTATTATGAATGCTGAAGATCATCCTAATGTCATAGTGTTCCTGTTACAATATGCAAGAGTGCAATGAAATTTGATAGAATTATGATATAATTTTAACTTAACAATAGAAATTTTTACTTGACGATTTAAATATTAAATATTTTTTAAATGTATATAATTTATATTACATACTTGTACATTAAGGATAACAAAAATAATTTTTCCCCAAAAATAACTGCTTTTTGGCAGTATTATATATGATTAGTCAATAATGCTTCAAACGTTTGTATAATATCCACTCCTTAATGTAGAAAAATGAATAATTCTTCTTTTTATATCATCAAGTGTGTATTTTATGTAATTGTATACAAATACTAAGGAATTTTCAATAAGTTTGTATATTTATATTATGAAATAAATATTTTGTAAGTAACAGAACTTGATGTAATATGATTACTATGATTATATAAAATTAAAAATTAGTACTTAAGTATTTATTTATATAAAGCTAAGAATTATTAAAAAAAATAAATATATGTAAGCATCTAAAAGAAAACTTAAATGTTTGCACATTCGCGTTCATGCATTAGAAAATTTTCTTTACATTTTGTTCCCCACTTATATTTATTACTACCAGATTTGCCTACTACACGATGGCATGGCACCAAATAAACAATATTGTTTCTCATTAATGCATTTCCAACAGCTCGAGCTGCTTTTGGTTTATTTATATTATGTGCAACTTCTTCGTAAGTAACAGTTGTACCACATGGAATTAGCATCAAGGCTTTCCAAACTTTTATTTGAAACTCTGTACCTTTCATAAGGATCAAAATAGAATCATCTACAGATGCATGGTTGGAAAAGGCTTTCTCTAAAATTTCATTTGTTTCATTTGAAGTATCTTCTACTATTTTGGAAAGAGGCCAATTGTTCTTTAATTCAGTCAAAGCTGTCTCATTCTTATGAGCAAACGTCAAGTGTACAATTGCCTTATCAGTGCTAGTAATACCAATTAAACAATCTCCAAAAGGTGTAGGATAGATACCGTAATTTATCTTGAAATTTTCATACTTCTCTTTATATTCTTGCGGTGTCATATTTTGGAAACGAACCATCTTGACTAAATGAAATCTGTAAATGCTATAAAAATAATAAAATACAGGCACTGAAGAATAATATGTTTACACCTGTTATTCTTGCTATTTCAGAATAATTCTTGCAAAACTGCGGAAAATACGATAATATGCAAAGATATATAAAACACTCGATTTATTAAATGAAACAAACTTTGTTTCAAATTCAATATTTCTCAAAATATGAAATTATATAAACATCCACATACATAATCCTTATGCTAAAGGCTTTTAACTTTACTCATACTGAAATGTTTTAATTTAATTATTTAATAGTAATTTATTTTCTTTCGAAATATTATATGACAAATACTTACGAAAAAACAACTCAAATTCTACTGTGTGGTTGACACAAGTAAATTATTTTGAAAGGTTAATATATATATATATGTATACTTAGAATTAAGGTTTATACTCATTAAAAAAAAAAACAGAAAATAATTGGAATTTTTCATTCGACTCAAAATTAAGGAAAATAGTTTATGTAATTAATATAATAAATTATGTATTTATGCAATTTATATAATAAATTATTTATATAAATTACATAATAAAATGACATTAAAATTATAAATAAGTAACTAATAACACCCTAACAGAAAAGTACTATACGATAAATGCGTACATAAAATTATTTTTTTAAAAGAAAAAAAAACTGGTATTTCGCAGTTTCTTAATATAAATACATAAAAAAATACATCTATGTTATACACCTAAAATGATTAAAATCATAGTTTTTCTATACAATACCATTTTAAGTTATTATTCAGTATAATATATAAAAAATAATAGTCTCATACAACAAAACCACATGATTATTATTTTTGATTTATAATTACGACAAACGTAATGATATATTAAAAAGAAATTAATTATAAAATAATAATTTTAGCGATGTCTGGAAAGGTTAAATTCCAATAGAACTAACTTCGATCTTTATACTTTCTGAAAACGTAAATACTTTTTAATGAAACTTAATGGGTATCTTTTTTCTTTCATTTTATTCTATTCAGGGTGTTATAGTTAACTTAAAAAAATTTATTACTTGCAAAGGCAATATCGTAGAAAACAAAATATAAATCTATAATGCTCAGAGACGCGTGAAGATGATGATGATGATGATGACGATGATGATGTTGATGATGATGATGATGGTGGTGGTGGTGGCACAAGATTTATACAAATGTACAAGATTAACAATAAGATTATCCGCATAAACAATCATTTCTTTGTCATAGGCTTAATAATATATGATTGGACTTCATGAGAATCTGCGTTAGGATTAACATTAAAAAATACTTTGCGCGATTTTGCATCTGCTATTAATGAATTCCACATTGGATATCTCTGTAATTAATAAAAGAAAATTATTTTATATTTAATTTATATAATATAATTAACTAATTATATTTAATTTAATTTATATTATATTATAATTACTCGTATTCGTATCATTTTTGTTATCTTACGTATTATTATATATTATATATTTTATTATCTTACATGCATTTCAAAAGTGTCACGATTTAAAATAATTTAATCCGGTGTTAGAGAAAAAATATTAAAACTATCGGAGGATTTTAAAGATTTTTATAAATCTATTCTTATGCATCAGCATTATATATTTACTAAATCACTTTTTTTTTGTAAGCTTCCAAATAATTTTTCGTTTTTGCAAGAAATAAATACATGTACAATGTACAATGTAAGTTAAATATTATAGAATATTATATAATCTTACCATAAAGGCGTTAAAATTACCACATATTATCAGACTCTGTTTTGCTCTTGTAAGTGCAACACAAAGTCTTTGCCTATCTGATAAAAAACCAATTTTGTGACTCCTTACGCAAGATATAATTATCACATCACAGTCTTGACCTTGAAAACTATCTACAGTATTCACTTCGAGTCTTATTTTTTTCCTAACATTATTTGGCATTGAAAATAGTCTAAAACAATTAAAATGAACATGTAATGAACAATTCAAATGATACTCAGAATATACTCACATTAAAAGCTACAACTTACATTTGATTAGTTTTTGTCTGTATCATAGATTTTTGATTATTATACGGCGTAAGAATGCCACACGAAATACCAGATTCCCAATTATCCAAATTGGCAAAGTTTAGCATACAATAAAAGATATTGGCTATGAAATCCGCTTCTTCATCATTCGAGTTGTCATCATTCTGATTTGTATTCAAATTTAAAATTCGATATGGATAAAATGGAAATTTATCATTATATTCCACGGCATTTTTTATTTTGCCGCCATAAAAGAATTTATTTGGCCAAGACAAAATATCATGTTGCATTCGATATTGAGTATCTAACATGATTATGGGATTATTTGGTTGCAAATCAAAGGCATTTTGCACACGGGAAAAAATAGACTGATCTAATCCATATTTCTTTGCCTGTGTACTCAAAATAGTAGCAGGTAATTGATTAGAATCACCAACTAAAATCAATATATTAATTCCTAACATCAATGGTATCAAGGTTTCTGCCTCACAACTTTGGGTAGCTTCATCCACGATACACACAGATATCCTTTTCTTATTTATACCAAAAATAGACTCCATTTGACCAACATAACAGGATGAGAGAGTGCAAGTTATTATGTCTGCGAAATCAAGAATTTTGTATTCCATTTCGCGCTGTAACTTACTGTTCTGTTTATTTGTATCATTTAACGATATACGACTCCTTAGTAACTCCTCTTTCACAGCTAAATCTGCTAACTTCATCCTCAGATGCTCTTTATAAGCTTCATCTAAGTTAGAAGAATTGTTCAGCTCACATTGAATGGCATTCATTTTAGATTGTATAAATAATTTTTCGTTTTCTGTACTATCGGAACAAACAGTGTTCGAATTGTTTTTTTTAATCTCTCGTTTTGCCAATTCAGTAACAGAAATATTTTTCACTTTTGGATGCATCATTTCTGATTGCCCAATACGGACCATTTTGAATGGCTTTGTTTTTGAGTTCTCTTTTATTATGGTCCTGATGTTTAACAGTCTAAGAACGATTTCATCAATGGCAGCATTCGATGGAGCACATACCAATATCTTCAAGGAATTTCCATTGTTTGTATATCTGTTATTTCCATACAATATTTGGGAAACTATATTCACGATAACTTTTGATTTGCCAGTACCAGGTGGTCCCTGAATAAAACACAATTTGGTATCCCTCTGAATTACTGCTTTAGTTATTCTATGTACAGCTTCCATCTGTTTCTCATTCAATTTATCTCCAGTGATCAATGTCTCAAATTCAGATACAACTGGCAACTTATACATCTCGATTCTTGGATTTAAAATCAGATCTGCCAATGGCGATTTAGGAAGAAACTGCAGTGCTTGTACCATTCTTAAATTGCTACGTAAATAGATTACAGCTCTTAATCGCTGAACTCTATTCACTAAAATGTTTTTATCGAAACCTTTTGTTATCACAGTATAAGTTAACAATGAATGAGGATTTTTTACATAATTTTGTAAATCTTTATTAAAACGCGTCAAAGGCGTTAACTCTGTTGTATATACATTAGTAACATATGCGAATATTTTATGAAATTTTTTTGATTTTTGTGAGTTCTCATGATTTTCAACATACTCGAAAAATATAAGATCTCCGTACACAGGATGGATATGTCTTCGTATATCGTCTTTCGTGACTAATACCTCGAGCATCAATGTTGTAAGAAATATATTTGACACCGTGTACGTTTGAATAGAATTCTCGACCATGGAATACATGAATGTGGGTTTGTGAATATGTTCTATACTTTGAAATTTTTTAGTGATTTCGTGCCAAATTTCTAGCAACAAAAGTGGACTTGTAATATTATAATACTCGTCATACGATCTATAATGAGTTAAGGCCACGTGAAGTTCCTGAGGCTCAATGACAGGTGGATCTTGATTCAAATATTGCTGTTCTTCCAACCATACAGGTTTCCAGTTTAAAATACGCCACAAGAATTGATTCCATTTTGCATTAGATTCTGTAGTATTACTAGGCTTTTTCACAGGGACAACCTTTTCTCGAGGTATAGGAGCGTCTTTTCCTGTTAGTTTTTTTAGAACATTTAAGTCATCAATTTGATATTCATATACAGTTTGAATCGCTGCAGAAAAAGATACTCGTTTCTTCGATTTCGTCACTGCAATCGGTGATTTCAAATTTGACTTAAATAGCGTAGAAGATTTCTTTTCAACTGGCTTACAAGATTCTGTACCTGATTTACTTTTTACTTTGGACTCTATTTTCTTCTCTGTTTGTTTTTCTAATGAAAGATCTTTTAATGCTGTTTCTGCTTCTGTAGTACTTACTTTTTGCTTGGTAGTATTAGACTTTTTAGGAATTTTTCCTACATTTGAAATATCATTAAGAGTTAATTTATCCTGTAAATACATTGCTATTTCCTTGGAAGCAACTTTGCGTTTTTCTGAATCAGTCATTTTTGCATTTGCCGTTGCAGATTGACTGGACGAAGCTTTAGAAGATTTCTCTGTTGTAATTTCTTGTTTAGACGCAGAAATTGTTTCCTCGACGAGGAAATCATTTCGACTTTTGGTCGTTACTTTCGCTTTTGGTTTTGAAACAATGCGTTTTTTTTCTTGGTTACTTTCCAAAGATGATCTCTTTTCCTCCGCAAGTTTCTTCAATTTCATCTTTCTATCATCTGCCAATGCCTTTTTCTCCTCCTTTGAAAGAGTACTTAATTTCTTTTTATTAGAAGAAAGACAACTAGCCTGCTTATCAAGTATTTTACGACTTTTTTGCTCTTTCGTATACAAACATTGCTCTAACTTCGACTTTTCTTGCTGCTCTTTCTTTTCTTTAGCACTTAATCGCTGTTTCGAAGATTTTTCGGACTTATTAGATTTTTCAGATTTATCAGATTTTTCAGATTTACCAGATTTTTCAGGAATTTGTTTAGCTTTATTAGAAGCATTCTTTCGTTTTCTGGTAGTAGGTAAAGGTGAAGGGTCAATCTGAACTATTCTTTTTTCAACTGATGTTCTTTTTTTGGAAAGTGTAATAGTTTCTGCTCTATTCTTGCTTGAAGTATCTGTTTCTTTCTGCACTCTCTTCTGATTCTTCGGAAGGTCAGAATGACTTTTGGTACGGATATTAGTGATCGTGTGTTTTTCAAGTAAATCATCAAAATCGACTTCCATTATATGTGTACTAGTTTCTGATTCTGTTACATCCTGCCGTAATGTGTTTGCGTCTTTGTTCACAGATTTTTCTATTTCTTTTTCTTTTTCAATATCAACATTTACATTTATATCTTTATTTTTTATATCATCCCTATTTTCAAGAGCAATCTCGTCGGTTTCGTTAAGTATTTGACTACGGGATAATCTGTGCAACCAATTATTATCTTCATCTTCGCTATCTGTTAGTGAAATAACTAAATCCGCATCATCGACTAAACAAAATCTTTCATTTTCCACTTCTGCAGGTTCCTCTTTTACTTCATTTTTGATAGATGTATCCGCACCATAGCCAATATCGAATAATTGAGAACACGGAAAAATATCATCCTCACTATCGCTTAAATTTACAACATCGTCCTCTGAAAATTTTGTTTTTGGTTCTCGTTTTACTTTTTTCAATTTTATTGGAGACACATGTGGGATAAAATTTCTACTGAAGGAATTTAAAATAGCATCTTCATCAGTATCAGTTAATTGCAATTCATCTTCTAATTTTATCAGGCCATCCTCGTTACGTATAAAATTTGAAGGAAGTGGTACATTTCCTCCTTCGTTATTTTCAATAATGTCTGTAGTGACTGTATTTGAGTTTTCATTCATATTATTTATTTCACTACTATTTTCTGCACTGCAGTTTGAGTTGCAATTTATACTTTCTAAATGAGCATTTACTGTTACTTTACTGTTCTGTATTTCCACTGTATTTTCACATTCAACATTGTGAAAATTTACTGCTTTCTGTACATTTCCAGTATGTAATAAATTATTTTCAAGCTTCTGTAATGTATTGGTATTCAATTCCTTACAAGTAGGAAAACTTTCTTTTTCTTTGATACTTTCCTCAGTGGTAAACATTGCTGGTTCACGATCTTCACAATTTATTATTTTGTCCATTGAAGATTCGGTTGTCGTATTGTTTGTTGTATTGCTTGATTTAAGTATATTAACATCTGTATGATTTTTTTTAAATAATTTATTATCTAATTCGACTGTCTCTATGAAATTATCACAACTCTCAGTTTCTTTACGTGACGAGTTGTTATTTAGTGAAACATGAATTATTTCAATATCATTTTCATTTTTTTCTGAAATTTGAATAATTATTTGCATTATAAAAATAAAATTCCATTATCTGTTTTTTTTCTTATACGTTAAATAAGCTGAATAAAAATATGATGTTACCTTCCAAAGAGTTTTCCGAGATATAATTTTCATTTCCCAATCTGGGAATTTTACTTGGTGAAATATTCAAACTGTAGCTTGTTTCTCTTTTACGTTTTGTACTTTTACGTACATCGTCGATTGCTGATTTATCATTACATATCATTTCATTATTTAATACAGTTTCTGAAAGTGTACTAGCACTGTGACTATTTTCCACTGGTTGAGGCTATTAAAATTATTACAATATGAAAGAATCTTATTTAATAAATATCTTTAAAAAAATTATTATATCATAATCTTACTCCAACAGCACGCAATTTATATACATATGTATTATTGTCTGCAGCAGTGGGACAACCAATACCAATGACATCATTTGAATATAATTTAGTTGTTTGAAAGGGCTGTTGGGCAACACCATTTATGTATAAGCCATTCGCACTCTAAAAATAATATAATGTCATCCAACAACAAATATTATAATATTTAAGTATATTAATTGCATTATATAATATGTACCTTTAAATCTGTAACATACAATTCATTTTTACTGCGGAAAAAAATGCAATGACGTCTAGATACTGTCAAACTAAGGCATACTATTTGGTTCTCCTTGGCTCTGCCACAAGTGTACTGAAAAATATAATATATCATATATCATATTATATATATATATATATAAAATACATGAAACATATGAAACATATCTATTAGATATTTAGAATATTTTATATATTTTATATATTATAACAAATGCACAAACATTCGCAATTTACTGGAAAAGTGACTATCAAAAAGCAATAATTTAATAATAGACTATAGAAATGATTCCATGACATGTAATTTCTATTTGCAGAACTATTATAATAAACATTGCATGCTCACTGTATGGTCTGGTTGATCAAGTATAATTACACCTGGAACGTTAATGCGTTCCAATACAAATTGACAATTGTCATTTGCACTCATTTTTTACAAAAATATTTAGAGGTCTTCTAACCCTCTATATAACCTGGTTTTTCTATTACATTGAAACGTTTCTTGAAACTTTCCACTGATAATATGAAATGCGTAATAATACAAACAAATTGGTAAATATATTCTTTTGCAATATTATTTTTTCTCAGATAAAAACATTTTTATAGAAAAACAGATTTTACGTATTGATGTTTACCGCCTTCTCCGATTAAAAATTGTATTTATGCCATTTACTGTATATTTCTCTAACAGTGACATCTACACACAAGGAGCACGATTCAAATTAAATGTACTGTAAAATTCTTTGATCAAACGCTTATTGCGATTATTTATAACATGATTTTTTTAGTATATAATTGATTTAAAGAAAATGGTTGTTGGTGTAATATAAAATATTTATCTTGATATTATAATAAAACTTAGCCGTTACGATTATGTTGAAAAAAATTTCTTAGAAATTAGAGAAAATTACATTATGAATTTTTCGATAGCTGATAGTGATAAATAGCAATGATAAAAAGTATTGGAAAAAATCACTCGAATCATCAAAATCAGAAAAAGGGTTTTTTGTTTTTACGTTTTTGCGAAAGAAGGACGATATTGCGAAAGAAGGACAACCAGTTTTCGGTACACGATACTCAGTAAACACTTTACTTTCAGTTTCGGTTTCACTGATGAGGGAAGGTTTAATGGGACGAAAAGAGAGAGAGAGAGAGAGAGAGAGAGAGAGAGAGAGAGAGAGAGAGAGAGAGAGAGAGAGAGAGAGAGAAAGAGGGAGGAGCTCCATATACATATATAACGATAATTGTATGTCGAGTGTGACATACAATTTTTATTCCAACATTTGTTTCGATGATTGCTTTCCAGAATTTTCGATTTATATATATTATATAGTGATAACATCCATGTTCTTATCTAAATGCAACGGTACAAAATATCTTACGATCATTTCAAAAATTTCTTTGCCCCCTTTTTTCGGGAAACATAAATTGCAAATTTTATTTTAAAATTCGCGTTCTGAAGAAAATTATTTTCAACTTTACAACCTAAAAAAAAATAATTATAATCATAGCATTGAGAGAAATTCATTTATAATACCATTGTTCAATACAATATAAAGTGAAATATAATAGTAAATTTTTTATAACTCATATTTTAAAGAGTAAATAGTTAAAGAAATATACTTGAATAACCGAATGTGATGCTGACTTCGATTGTTTTTACGATGTCATAAATAACATAGAAAAATAAATTTAATTCGGTTTCGTTTTAAACACGTATGTATATATATCTTCGTAGTCATTTTCTTTTATTCCCTGTTGAGTATTTACCATGTCAACTACTTAATCTGATGTAACAGCAAGTACAAATGATTTATTATTATTGCTTAAGCCTTTAATTTGTCTGTCATCTCACAATCAAAATACTTGCCTCGAATTTCGCAAGTAAATTATGCAAATAATTTCGAACTTAAAACTTTAAACTTTAAACTCGACATTTTATTAGATTATTATTTAGAATGTATATAGAACATGTTATTATTATTATTATTATATAGAATAAATCTAAATTAGTTTATAATAAAATCAAAATTAAACTCATATCTGTGTCTGATTAAATTTTGTTAAATTAATTGTGAAAAATATTAAATTTTTTTCAGGAATGTACCAATACTTAATTCGAGTTGTATAATTTGTATTATTTCTTGATCTTGATTCGATGCTTATTCGATGATTAGGCTTAATGAGTCACACGGTACGTTTTTTGCTGAAAACATCGATTTTTACCTGTAAAAAGAACATTTTTACAAGTAATTACTAGATATAAAGAGGAGATATGTAGTGCATTTTAAAGCGTAATTAAATAAATGAGCAAGAAACGAGATAGTGTGCGAGAAAATTATTGGTTTCCGCTACTAAAATTACATTTTTATCTTAATCGAGAGCACGAGCAAAATATATGGTAAAAAATAAATATATGGTTCGTCATTCCTTCGATTCACGCCCGGCCTTGATACACATATTGAGCAAGACTTAAATGACCACTTGAGAATGGAACTCGTGGGCCAAAATCTCCTCTGTTAAAGAAAGACTTTTCATAAGTCATTGATTAAAAATATTTAAGGTTTGAAATAAAAAATCATGAGATAAATATTTTAATAACACCAAAATTAAAAAAATTTACTACGTACCATGTAATTGTAGAACAATGATTAATAAATACAGTATAGACTTCTTCTGACAAATTTCTACCGAACAATCATAAAGTTTATAATTAATTTGACAATTCAGAATCCAAGTAATTATTACACAATGATAGTATCATAATATTCAATATTTATTTCAATATCATTATCAAGATATTGGATTTGTACTTACATAATTCCAATCTTGATACTGCAAGAAAAAAAAAGCGGATCAACAAAGCCTTTATCTTTCTAGATTCCAATCTAGTTTATTAATGATTTTCTTTCTCATTTGTAAAACAGTCCTATAAGAAAGTATACATAAGCATGATGTAATTTACTTTAAAATTATCAATAAAAAATAAGCACGTTGTCGAGAAAAAAAATAACAGAAGATTACCTTGATACCCTCACCAAAAAAAGAAAAAAAAAGAAGAGAACAATAAAGTCGGTAAACCGTAAAATAACAGAAGTGAACTCTTTATACTTTCGTTATGTAAATAAAAAGAATTTCGATTATTTTCATTTGTTATGAAATATGTAATATAAAGTTAATTTGAGATCAAATTTTGATAAAATCTATGTTTTTTAGATATCAATTTTTTGAAAACTCTTTTTATCGTTTATGAAATGAAATGACTTTTAAAACAAATATGAACTTTTTATTCTTAGCATAACAAATTTGATTATAAAAATATCAAATTTTATAATTTTAGATTTTTCTTCTAATCTTTAAAGTAATATTACGTTATTATTCAATTATCGAATTCTCACCTTTTGTTACATCGAATGTGGCGAACGCAGAGTAATAAAATTTCGAATGACCGGCTCAGGAAATGTTCTTTTCTCTTTTTTTCAACAGGAACTCGCGTAATTTAGCGTCACATTTCGTGGGTGATGAATTTTACACAGGCCTACACATCCCATACATGGGATGAATGACAATCGAATTTTAAAGGCGCATCGACCCAGTTGAAATTTCTGTTTTCACTTTCGAATGTCTATAATCCTTTGGTATTCAAAATTTCTCCACTTCATTCATCAATCTTCGCTGTTATATAATAGCCTCTTAAACGAAATTGAAGTAGAAATTTTTAAGATTAAACGATTCATATTCCTACAAAAGTAATTAAAAAAACTTTTATTTTATAATTTTCTTATTAAAAATATGTTAAATAGAAATAATTGAGGAATAAATATGAAATTTAAAAAGTAAATTAACTTGGCACTCAATGAAATATTTGGCACTCAATAAAAAATCCAAATTGCCACAAAACAAATTTTGTATAATCATAAATTAATCATACTATATATTTCCATAATTTAATTCAAATTATTTCAAATTATTAAAACAATTCTTAAAAATATTGCCGGAGTTTCACAAGGGCAATTGGGAACGATGAACTGTCATAAAAAAATAGGTGCTCTTAACAGCCAATATGATATTGTGAAACAGTGAAATTAACGATTGTATCATAGAGAGGGAGATGCATAACTATCAGTTCCTATGTGGGAGCAAGTTTCTCGAAGATCGACCACGTGGTGAAACAAACTAGATCGACCCAGTTTTGGTCAACTTTGAGTCTTTATTCATATGGGAGGGATACCAGAACAGTTTTATGAGAAGGGGCCCCTTTTACGTGGGCCATATAAGCAACGCCTGCTGTCACAAGTGAAACAGAGTCTTGCACCCCCTCGGCGATACGCACATCGGCATCAGGTAATTTTGTCTTTCTCGAGATTACAAGCTGTTCAGAATACATCTTAATTTCACACTTAATTTACAATGCTTCTAGATGGATATTTTAATTACTAATCGATATTTTAATTACTATCTTTATTTCACTATCTTTTTATCATATTTCAGCATTTATTCTAAAATGAAATCCCTGAAAGATTTGTCAAACACCAGTGTATTCAGTTGTAGTTCAATTTATTCATAACAGAATGTTTTGCAGTATTTAACAAATATTCGATGATAAAAAATATTAAAAGATTCAAATTTGATCGATTATATTTACCACATCATTCCAGAATGAAGTTCGGAGTTCTCTTCACAATGGCAGCTGCTCTGCTGCAAGGTGGATACGGTGGATTCGTATCTATCAAAATGCCATATTTGAATCCAGCCGGAGTAACTTACATAAATGATATCCCATCCGAAGGACACCTTGCATACAGTGTCCCTGCTAAAGTTGAAACCGAACACATTGGATATGCCGCCGCCCAAGTACCAGCAGTGGCTGCTGTACCATATATCAAACACCTGCCAACTGTTTCTCATGTACCAGTTACGAAAATTGAGGCTCAACCTGCCTTCTTGGAAAAACAATTGGACGTTGTAAAACCAGCTGTTTCCACTCGTAAATTTGAAGTGAGTGATTGCTAATTTCAAATATTGGTTTCATTTTTGAGAAGAGCCCTCTCCAGTTTTTCTTTACTCTCCCTCGTTTCTATTCGTTCCCTTTCATTTCTTCATCTTAATTTATGTTTATGTTAGAACCTTTTAATATTTTCCTTCATCTGTAAGAACTATCGTAAGCGCAAAAGAACTAATTTCGTTTTAAAATGTTAAATAAATATTTCTCAACTAGGTACGTCGTCCAGCAATCCAGAAACAATTCTTCGACATCGAAGAACGCGTGGTCGTTCGTCCAGCTGGCTCAGCGGTAGTTGAGCTTGATCAACCCACTTCCAAGACTCAAAGAGGACCAGCTGTTATTCAACCTTTGCAATCGCAGTTCTCGAATCTTCAAGCATCTTCGTCGCTGCCATCTATCCAAGCATATCCGTCGCTGCCATCTCTGCAAGCATATCCGTCGCTGTCATCTCTGCAAGCATATCCGTCGCTGCCATCTCTCCCATCTCTTCCATCTCTTCCATCTCTTCCATCCCCGTCGTTGCCATCCCTTCCATCTCTTCCATCTTTGCCGTCTCTTCCATCTCTTCCATCTCGTGGAATAGAATCTTCTAGTTCATCATCTAACGAAGATAACGAAACTGTCACGATCGACAATCCTAACTTCCGCAAACTGAATGCCCAGAGCAGAGTACGATTAAAATATTATTATTTTCCTTTTCTCATCTAAAGTAGTGAAGAACTAATAATTATTTTTTATTTTAGGATCGTGTATCTGCAGCTCAAACGAGAAATGGTGGACAATCAGACGAACCTCTCGTTGCACGTGATCCTTCGCCAAACGTTGTCCTCAGCCCCAACTCTTCCCCTGACAGAGACCAAGAAAACCAGAACAGACTGCTCGAATTGCTCACTGCTCGTGGCAATGTTGCCGAGGTAATTTACTGTGAATATTAGTTACCAAAAAAATCAAAATAAGAAGTATCTGAAGAGACACACACTGAAGTTAAATGATGAAAATAAAAGTTAATCACTTCGGTTTTTAAGACAAATAGAACAAAATTTAACAGATATTACGGACTCATCAAATTACAGAGGATATTTCATTTATCTATATATATTTATAAACGCATAGGTTGGCTTTGGTCGCCTCTTTTCCCAATCTGCAATCGGAGACGCTGGAAAGATTCGAGGACGTGTGATCTCTGCTACTCCAGCTCCGGAATCAGCAGAACCAGCTGACGAACGCGTCTCTACGCGACGTGTCGTGGTTAGCAGGCCGATCGAAACTCTTCAGGAAGTAAACGTGGTGGAACCTGCGACTAAGATCGAAAGAGTGTCTGTGCAAGAACCTACCTACATAAAAACAGCACGTCTTGATCATGTTCAGGTTCACAGTTCTGTACCAGTGGTCGGAAAGGCTCTTGCACCAACAATTGCCCATGCTGCAGTTCCAGTTTATCAGAAGACAATCTCACCAGCTTATGAGTATTATCATTAAATTGTTTGACAATTTGCGATCCTAATTTCTTGATGCTCTAAAACAGGATTAACAATACGATAAATATTGAATATTTTAATAACACAATGAATTTTTACATAAATTGAAAGATTTGAAATTGCTCTTAATTAGTAATATATTTAAATTGCGATTGTTTGATATAAAACTACTTGTTACAAAGTTAAATAATAGTTAAAATTGTATGCAGAATTATGTTAATAATCAATATGATTTGTACAAATAATTGTAAATTAAAAAAGACTTCTGTGTTGCTTCTGCAAAGAAAATTATATGAATTGTATTCTGTACTTAAAACAGGAATTTTTGTACCTCGTATTTCTATTTTATATGTATATCAAAATGTGTTTATATAAAAAATGAAAATAAGATGTGGTTCTTTTATTTTTTACGAAATCTGTTACTTAAAATATATGAAAGTTGAGAAACGAAAAACAATTGACATCATTCCTTACAATATATTTTGCAAATTAAACTTTTAATTATTAATAATATTCGCAACAATTTTCTGAATTTTAATTATTAATAATATTCGCAACAATTTTCTGAATTCACAATTTTATTATATATATATATATTAATATTAAAAAAAGTTTAAATTAAACCTGTATCTTTTACAATAAAGTAGAAAACTAATTACACAACGATACTAAATATAAATGCATTCAATGCAACTCAATAAATACTACAAAATATTGTCAGCCAATTCATACGTTTTTTATGTGATCTCGTAAAAGATCCTAATTATCATACAGTGAAGTGCAAGGTCTCTCGTATTCTTGCGTAACTTCCTTTCACTGGTAGTATTTTTTTTTTCATTCCTTTCATCTCTCATTTAATTATATGTATTATTCAGAAAGCTGAGAAACTCCCTATAATAAGCGAATCAGTTCCGACAAGGGTAACCACTGCCTCTGGGTGAATTGGTGTATGCAAGGACGTAACATTGACCTAAATACAATTACACATCCGTTCCCTTGCCTATTATAAGCAGTTTAAAAAAAATTGAATCAATGTATCAAAATGCTCTACTTAATACTTTCACTTCAAGAGAAGATATATTTATTGTACTTATACAATTTTCAACACAGTTAAAAGACTACTTGTTCAGAAATCCATTCAATAGGAGGAATTTTTTATATAATTATGATTATAATTATAATATATTTCTTTACCTCTGTTATCTGATTATCTCTGTTGTAGATTGTAGATCTATGTAAAAGATTTAAATGTTTCTTATACCAATATCTTGCTTACTCTTGTCAATGTAAAAAAGGATAAGAATAGTTAGGATAAGAATAGTTGATGTAGATAATTCATGTTTTCATCTTTCAAGATCATTCTAAGAGAAAATGATACCAATCGATGTGTTGTTTAGTTTTGAAATATATGTATCTGAAAATGTTCAGTTGCTACTTTATTTCATTATCTATTAGAAATTAAAATTTCATCATATTGTAATACAATGAATTTATAATTATAAAGGTATGATGTACGAAATTTCAAAGAATCAAAAAATTCGGAAAGAATTTTGTATGAAAGTCAAACTAAAAAAGGTGTAGTTGTACGGCCACTGTAGAAAGAAAGCAAAGAAGTTTGTAATAACGTGGCTTACGAGTTGTAAATCGTTGAACGGAGACAGAGACTGCAGATACGCGTAATGCATAAACCGGAAAACTTGCTGCCCGAAAAAGTCCGTAAGAACGTGTGTGGGCGGTTGAAACTCAACACTCGACATGGTAACAGTTTAGTAAACTCTCGACAACTTGTAGATCTTCCATTAACAAATAGTTTAATATTCAATATCTCAATCATTTCTCAACATTTTGTTGATATCTTGCTATCGGTCAAATTTACTATAACGTTTTTTATTAAGTGTAATAATGAGTATAGTTGAGTAATCGTTCGTAAAACCCATGGAAATTTCAATCACAATGTGAAATCGATATTTCTAGGCACGTAGGAACATTACACCCACCAAATCTCGACGACACACATCGATTTGAATCAAAGGATCGTTCTTATAACGCGACGCTTAACAAATTCACCGTGCGTAAACTGAAGAATCGACCATGCCTATTGAATTATTCTTCCAAACAAAGTGAAAACCAAAAGGACAGTTTCAGAATAATTATTAAGAAGTGATTCACCGGATCACTTTGTATTTTATTGGTTTGTGACAATTCATAGCACGAATTGTTATCCTTTTAGCTATTTCCTTGTCTAGAATTCTTATCAAATTTGAGATGTAATTCGTCTCAATTGTCTAATAATACTTTCTTTGTATATAATAATAAAAAATGCTGATTTATTAGATCTGTCGCCACGTGGCTTGAAACACGTCAACTTGAAAAATCCATCAGGCCGAGTGTATCGCGTATCCAGCATCTAATATCACGGTTACTGTCACCGAGAAGAAGCGGGGCAAAGCGAATAAAACGTACAAGAACCAGGAAGGCCGCGGATAAACGGCGGCGAGTGGTGATCAGTTGACTCAAAGGGATCTTCACCCTTGAAATGCCTCAAAGAGGGAACAAATGTCCTCGTCGGGGACATAAGGCCGATAGAATGGGCCAGAATACGGATAATAATCAAGAAAACATCCGCGGTAACCTTAGTAACTTGTATCGAAGTGGCAACTGCTATATAAGTAACACTGTATTCGGATCCTGTATTCAGTTAGATACGCGCGAGAGTAATAACTAGATCTTGTAAGTTCCCAAGTCGAATGTTTGTTCAGGTGAGTGGATTTGTGCAGAAAAACGTGGACCACGAGTGTTAATTAAATTGCATGAAGGATGCAAATAGATGATACGGTGTAGGATAAAGGTGTTCAATGTGGTTCCTGAAACACGAATCAGTAGTTCAATTCATTCCTAGTGTATGATAAAAATTGTAGAACGAAGTGCATAACTCAAAATTACATTTACAAAAGAATAATTCCGTTGGTAAAGTACTTACAGTAGTATTACTATATGAAATAAAGTTATTGATACAATTTGATAAAAAAAAAAAAGAGGGATATCATTGAAAATACATAGCCTTTTAAATGCTTAGTAAGATAATCCAAAATACTATCATATGATCCTTTGTGTGCAAACGACAAAAAATAATTCTTTCGTGAAATTTTGAGCAGTGTATAAAGGATAGATAAAACGTGAATGGAACAATGACTCAGCCATCGTGAATTCCTTTCGAATTTTTTGTCACTTGAATAGAAACACCGTATGGTTTTATGTGCAATTTTTCTTATTCGATAGATATCAAAACAAGAGAATGGTTTTTTTAAAGAAAAAAATTAATTCCTTCACTGTATTTAACAAGATGTACTACCTTAAATTGGTTGGAGCCTGTTCTTTTGCAGAATTTTACGTGAACATGAATACAATAATCACGTTCACGATAGCGGTGGGATTATGCGCGGCCGTTCCACAGTATTACATTCCCTCAGGATTCTTGTATCAACATCCGGCGAATGTACTGAACTCGGCAGTCGAAGACACCCTGCCGAATGAATTGCGAAATGACTTTTATAAAAATCCGCTAATCGCCGCCAGACTCGCGAAGGAATCATGGCTTTTGAATAAAGAGACGCAGGTAAAAAAAATTCCCCGTTAATTTTAACGTTCCTCTTCTGTAATATATTTTCCTCTATGAAAATATGAATGAAATTAAAATGGGAAACGTGGTGGTAGGTCGATTTTGAAACGAGGTTGTTGGATTTAGTTCTGAAATCTGAGAATACCTTTCGCTGCATATCACATTTCCTTATGAATTCGTACATACCACAATATACATATCTGATATACTCTGTAAGTAATAAGTCAGTGCATGTACAGTACTTCTTTTTTTTGTCGTAGGTAATTGATCGTGAAACGGATAAAATCCCACGAGAGAAAGTATATAACGTTCTTCGCAATGCAGGACTTGTGCAAAAATGAGAATAAAAAATTTTTTTTATAATTTGTGTAGTTCTTTTTGTGATGATCCTCTTACTGTATCTCCTTCATTACTAAAAAAAGAAATATCTAGTCTTATTTTTAAAATAATTCTGTATTCTTATTTTTAAAATTACTTGAAATATGTAAGGAACAAATTACCTTGAAACAAAACTACATCACAAGTTGTAGCAACGAATTATTAACCGTTGCATGACTCAAAACTTTAATTATGAAGTACGAGCAACGACAGTTTCGAGATATCGACATTCACGGCGCGCTATTTAAATGTTAGATGCCTGTGTACACACATACGTACATATATGATCTATACAAATGCATGTAAATATATTCACAACACGAATACCACTTTTTAAAAAATGAAGACAAATATTTTTTATTAAATTATTTAATTAAGTACCAGTAGAAATCAATTCAAAAGCATATAAATAAATATTTAATCAATCACATATACAATATATTTATTAATTTAATATTATAGGTAACGTAGCACGTAAAAGATTCAAAAATATATGTCTATATTTTTATAAAATTTTATTTTTGTATTATTTCTCAAGGGATTCTAATAAAATATCTACGATCGATATATCTTCACCCATTACATAACGTGATTTTTTATGAATAGCGTGATGTACATTAGTATGTAAAAAAATGTGTATTTTTTCTAAATAGTTATCTATTTCATTAGCATATAATGCATCTTTACTTTCATAACGTAAAACACGAGGATAACAATTTTCGATTAGGCGATTTAGATATCGCGCTACATTTATCTCGCCCGTTATTGCGTACATTCCAGGTAATTGCATTATAGGATCAATACCAATTTCTTTCCAAATTATTGTTAAGTGTATATCATTAGCTTGATTTGCATTTCGACATTCTGAACAAAAATTTAACAAATAGTTTGGAACATACTGTACACTGGAATGTACATGAGAAGTCACAAAAACGTTGACACAATTTTTTACATGATGGAAAAACAATTCTATAAACTTGATAGGATGCTTTGGATCACAAAATATGATGAGTTTTTGCTTCTCGAATTTTTCTGCACATTTAAACATATAAGATTTATTTTCGTGTTTGTTTAATTCTTGTTTCTTATCTTCGGCCTTCTTTGTTTGAGGAGAATTCTGACTAGTCCTGTTAGAAGGGTATTAATATTTGTCTTATTTATTCACTTATTTAGTAAATAAATTTTTGTACATTGAATGAAAATATTGATAAACAAATATAAAAAGTTTCTCCATATTTAATTATTTTAGAGGAGACGATTCACAACAGAAGTTTTACCATAGAAATCGTATGCATTTTAATTTTAATATTATAATTACTTACATAAAAATCTTAATAATGATTAGAAAGATATTTACTTGTTTAAGCGACAAATAGGATTGTTATAAACCATTTCCAAATCAACTTTTGGTCCAACCAAATCTCGTATATTGTTTAATCCATATTTAATCATAGTTGGCCTGAAAAAATGAATTTGAAAAGTTAAAAACATTGAATTTAAAATATTTGAATGACACAAGTACCATTTATTTTTTTATAACCTTTCTAAAGATAATCCCCAAGCAATAACATTTACATCCTTAGGTAATCCCATTGGTAATAACATTTCTGGTCGAAACATTCCACTATTACCAATTTCTATCCATTTTTTTAAACCCTCGTGATAACAGAAAATTTCCATACTTGGTTCAGTGTATGGATTATATGCGGGCTTGAACTTAAGCTGTGTAATACCAAGTTTCTTAAAAAATTCATACAAAGTTCCTATTAAATCACCTAGCGTGAGATTGTAATCAGCGACTACACCTTCAATCTGGTGAAATTCGGCTAAATGCGTGGCATCCAAAGTTTCATTTCGGAATACTCGATCAATACTGAAATACTTTACTGGCTTAAACTCACCCTGAAATTTATATTACATATGAGTATTTGGTAACTCTTAAATTGATATTGATATTGATTCATCAATTACCTGTTGCATAAGATTATAAAGCATTCGTGCACTAACAGCAGTCGTATGAGTACGAAGAACATTCTTTTGTGCTTCTTCGATTTTCCAATCGTAACGATAGCCTAAAGATCCATAGCCACCTTCACTATGAACTTTTTTTACCTTTTCCATATACTCCATAGGAAAATTTGTACTACGAGATGGTTCTAAAATAAACATTTTGAATGCATTAATTAAATGAATATATATAATTTAATTAATTAAAAAAAAATATTGATCAAGGTACCGGCTATGAAAAAAGTATCATGTGCATCTCTTGCTGGATGCTGTTGTGGTTGAAATAACGCATCAAAATTCCAGAAAGAACTTTCCACAAAATTATTTGTTGGCATCTCAGTGAATCTATGGAAATAATAAAAAAATATGAAGGAAATTGTTAATTATTATAGGTCTAAAACTTCATTTTCTCTTCTGTATACCCCATTTCAAGAAAAATTTTTCTAAATTCGCTTCTAACTTTTAAAAGTGGATGCAAATGACCCACTTCAAGTGTAGCACCAAGAGCATCGAAATTATAAGGTTTAAATTTCTTATCCTTCCATGCACCATTTGCTAATAAATCAGCAGTCAATTCTGTTTCCTGTTTTTCAATTGTTGTTGTAAAATTGGGACCCTTTTCCAACTGTACAAATTTAATAACTCTGTTAACAAGAAAATTGTTCATATACAAATCTCTCAACATTTATATATATTTCCTACTAAATGAAATGAAGTTAACAAAAATCATACATTTCTTGAATTAGTTTTCTTTTTTTATATTCATTTTTAAGGCGGTCAGTTAGACTAGCAAGATCTTTTAAATCCTTTTGTGTAATATCTGTGATAGAAGACACTTTCTTTTTCACAATAGGTGTACCACTGCTTTTATCAATTACTATCCAACCAGCCTGTAATGCTTTAGAAAATCCAACTTTTGCAAATGGAACTGATTGCATAATTTTAGATTGTGGCATTCCATCATCAGGAATTGCATTATAAACAGCTGCTTCGTGACTTCCATAACTTGCCACATGCTGACCTTCTGATGTTAATTCCCACTTCTTATCAGTAATCTGTTTAGTAGTAATCAACTAAAACATAAATTATAGTCTTACTAATAAACAAATAATACCAATTTTATCGAATAAAAATTTAATGCATGGTAATAGAAATTTTGAGGTTATAACGAAACAAATTTGCATTGATATATTTATTTAAATTCTAATATAAAAAAGATACTAAGAAATGATTTAGCATTAAAAATTATGTTTTGTTAAAATTTTCCAACATTACTACGATGAATAATTATGAACATTTTGAATAATTAACTTACATCATTAAGTGTTTCAAGACTTTTGATGGCCCCGATAATTTTTTGATGATTTTCTTTAAAAACTTCAGATAAATGAAGCGAATTTACTTCCCCGTGCTTGTTTAAATAATCCAATATTTGCTCAGTCAATTGTTTTGCCATGTTTGAAGTGATAATGAATTTCACTTTGCATTAAAACAGCCGGCAAAGATTCACATGAATCATACGTGGATAATAACATAATAATGACATATTATTACAAATGACAGATAATTTAAAGAACTTCGGTAAATTCTGAAACTTGTAACATCCTTATTACTAAATTTTGATATAAATTTTACTTAATATTCTAACAAAAAAAAAAAAATAAAATTTAAAAATTGATTAATAACAAAATTAATCTAGAATTTAAAATAATACAAATATATTTTTCCATAGTTTCTTTACTGGGAAACTATTATTCAATTCTTTAACATAATAATAATCTTTTATAATACTACATTATGAAGGTATTTGAAAGGAATTGCAGAAAAAAAGGATTATTTTAGTTTTTGTATATTTTATTCACATTGAATATAAATTATTTTAGAGGAATAAATCTTGAAGAATGGGTAGCACCAATACCAGGTCTACCGTGCTTCACAGGTTTATAAGTAACAGAGAACTCTCCCAAATAATGACCAATCATTTCTGGCTTGATTTCAACTTGATTAAATGTTTTACCATTATAAACACCAACAATCGACCCTACCATTTCTGGCACTATAATCATGTTACGCAAATGAGTTTTAACAATCTCTGGCTTTTCATTTGGTGGGGTTTCCTTTTTTGCTTTACGCAGTTTCTTTACCAGAGCCATAGATTTTCTTTTCAGACCATGAGAGAATCGCCTACGAGCTCGAGCATGCATCAAAACCATAAGTTGCTCACTAAAACAATAAAATAACAGTTATTGTAATATTCAGGGTAACTGAATGTTTGTCGTTCCTTCAATTGATTATCATAACCTAAAAATACTTAGTATTTTCTAAAACACAGAAAAAGATACTTACTTTGGCATATCAAGGAGTTGATCGAGATCAACTCCTCGAAAGGTGAACTTTCGGAAAGTTCTCTTTTTCTTTTGAGTTTCCTCTGCCTGAAAATCATACGTCACATGTTTAAAAAGGTTAGGTTACAAATCGAAAATATTCATTCTTATGTATTAATATTATATCTGCCTGTTAAAAAAAAGAAATTCATATTTATTTTAAAACATTTCCTTAAATCTTTTTATAGCAAATGAACGAGATTTTATTGGATACTTTGTGTCACATACCTCAGCCATATTTTCAGTTGTTACGACAAAAGACAACAAGAAATAGCGCCGTTTGTCCTACACGGAAATCGATTTCACCATTAACTAAATGTTACTAGATGGTCATGTAAGTATAATTCATTTCTCAGAATAAAGCTCCTTTCTTTCATAAAGAAAATCAATTATTTGATTTATATTGTGAAATTATATTAATTTACTAATATTTTAATACAACTTAACAATTTTTACTACAAGAAAATGATACATTAATTCCTTTTGCAATATATTTTTTTATCAATTTTTCAATGGTATTTGTTTAGTTAACACAAATTGACATTTAACTTTGATTAACAATAAATGAAATAATATATAATTCAATTATTTCGAAACTTTTTAAACTACTATAAAGAGTTAAACAATACAATTGTCTAACTTTTTATAGTAATTTTAGAAGATTTGATATTACATGTTTAAAAACTCCGCCATAATGCTTTCATTTTTCAGATAATTAAGTGGCGAAAATTTTGTTCATGATTAGTATCCTCGAACATGTAAGAGGAGGCTGCGTGTTCTCATTGGGCCCAAGTATCACTCAATAAAATTGAGGAACTTTGAATAAGAGACGTGTATGAAAAAATCAGTACAGACGTTCCCTGAGAAATCGATTGCTTGTAAAATATGAAATATATTTTAGTAACGGGTGGTGTAATTAGTGGAGTCGGCAAAGGTGTTATTGCAAGTTCATTTGGAACTATACTTAAACATTGCGGTATTCATGTGACGTCTATTAAGATAGATCCTTACATAAATATTGATGCTGGCACTTTTTCTCCCTACGAACATGGTACGTTATTAAACGTCTACTTTTCAAAATTATTTCATTTAATTGAAATGACATGTTCGAAAACATTTCTGTGAAAACGTAAAATTTCCGCATAGCCATGTGGTGTCAGAAGCCATTTTATCCGTTGCTGCCGCCAATTTTACAATCACGTGCGATATTTCTGACAGCATTTTTAGCTCCGATATGAAATTTACTCGTCTTATTATTTACACTGCTTCAGATTTCTTTGAATAAAATCATTAATAAATTATGACGGTGAAATCTTAAATTTTCGAAGTTATGACTATATTTGTTTAACGAAAAATTTAACAAAAATTTAAAATGTAATCTTTTTATTCTTTTATGTAAAAATTATATTTAGTTAGAGCGTATATTTTCTAGTTAAACAATCCTTTTTTTCTCATTTTATTATTAAAATTTTTATTGAAATTCATTTTTAAGTTTTCATTATTGTTTCTCATTTTTTTTTTAAATAAAGCTTTTATATCTTTACATTTCAGGGGAAGTATATGTATTGGATGATGGTGGAGAGGTAGATCTTGATTTAGGAAATTATGAGCGTTTTTTAGATATTACTTTACACAGAGATAATAATATCACAACAGGAAAAATATATCAACATGTAATATCAAAAGAACGACGTGGTGATTACTTGGGAAAAACAGTTCAAGGTATAATGAATATATTTGTTCTGGCATAAAAAGTTAATATATTGACTTAATTCCTATTAATAAGCATTTATTTATTATTTTGCAGTGATACCACACATAACAGATGCTATTCAGGAATGGGTTGAAAGAGTTGCAAAACAATCAGTGACAAAGGATGGTGATAAACCAGATGTAATTTCATGTTGTACAATAATAATAAAATTACAAAAAATTTTTTTAAATAATGCAGAATTGATTTAATAATGCAGATTGATTTTATTGCAGGTTTGCATTGTTGAATTAGGTGGAACCATAGGAGACATTGAAGGAATGCCATTTGTAGAAGCTTTCAGGCAATTTCAATTCAGAGTAAAAAAAGAAAACTTCTGTTGTGCACATGTATCTTTAGTACCTCAAGTATGAATCTGTTTTTGTCTAAGTAATTCTTTTTTACTGTCCTAAACCTTGACTTTGAACTCGTGCCAAGCACCAAGCATATGTTTGGTAGTTTATTTTTAACCCTTAGAATTATGTAACTTTTATTCGTACAATTTACAATCACGTTTATATATATTTAATATATATTTAAGACTGTTTAAAAGTATCTATAAAAAGAACAAAAAGATTTCCTTGTTAAATAGATTTTTTGTTTTAATAAATTTTGTTCTTTTTTTTCAGCCAAGATCTACAGGAGAACCAAAAACAAAACCAACTCAATCCAGTGTAAGGGAATTACGTGGTTTAGGTCTGTCTCCTGATCTTATAGTTTGTAGATCTGAACAACCAATAGGCGATTCCGTGAAAGAAAAAATTTCAAATTTTTGTCATGTTGCGCCTGAACAGGTGATAGTTTTTAATCTTTTCAATAAAACTTGGATAAAATTGTTTAAAAGACTAATAGAAATTTTTATGTATTAGGTGATAACTATACATGATTTGTCATCTATATATCGCGTTCCTTTATTAATGGAATCTCAAGGCGTTATTGAGTTCCTAAACGAAAGATTACAATTAAATATTGGAATGCCACGTCCCCGATATTTTATGCGAAAATGGAGAGATTTGGCGGATCGCATTGATCATTTACGGAAAGAAGTAAATATTGCGTTAGTCGGAAAATATACAAAATTAGAAGATTCCTACGCATCAGTTACAAAAGCATTACAACATGCTTGTATTAAAGTTGGCTACAAACTTAAGTTAACAGTAAAGTATTTGTTTTTTATTAATCATATTATTGCAATGATTGCTATTATATTTGTATGAATATAATTTTAGTATATAGAGGCTGATAATTTAGAACAAAATACAAAAACAATAGATCCTGTATTATACCATGAAGCTTGGCAACAACTTTGTAAAAGCAAGTAAGTTATTTTTTGTTTTTATTATTATTTTATGTCGTTTTGTTTTTTTTTGAATTTAATTATCTTATTTGGGTTATATTTAGCGGTGTTGTAGTACCAGGTGGATTTGGTAAAAGAGGTATGCTAGGAAAAATGGAAGCGTGTAAATGGTGCAGAACAAACGATAAACCTTTCCTTGGTATTTGTTTGGGTTTACAAGTGGCAGTGGTTGAATTCGCAAGAAATGTTTTAGGCATAGAGGATGCAAATAGTACGGAGATTGATCCAGAAACTGATCATCCCCTCGTTATAGATATGCCCGAATATAATCCAAAACAAATGGGTGGAACCATGAGGCTTGGAAAAAGATATACTCGATTTACAGAAAATAATTCTCTCATAAGTTAGTAAGAAATTGCTTCAAAATTTTTACTATAATCTAATATATTTATAGTATTTTATAACTATTTTAAATTATTATTTTATATATAGAACAATTGTACGGTAATAAGGATTGTATAGAAGAAAGACATAGGCATCGGTATGAAATTAATCCCAAGTACATTGACGATTTAGAGACAGCTGGTTTAAAATTCGTAGGTAAATTAATGTTTATTTTTTAATCAATAGTTTTAAGAAATATTAGTGTTCATTAAATTAGTATATATTATCTTATATTTATGTTAGGTCACGACGAGGAAAATTTACGTATGGAAATAGCAGAATTAGAAGGGCATAGTTACTATGTTGCTACACAATTTCATCCGGAATATTTATCTAGACCGCTAAATCCTTCACCTCCATTCTTAGGATTAATTTTAGCCAGTGTTGGTAAATTAAAACATTACTTAACCAGAGGTTGTAAACTTTCACCTCAAGCAATCAGTGATAATGAATCAGGTAATGAGCAATGAATTTTTATATCATAATTTCAGGCTACTATTATAACTTATTTAACATTTATCTTTTTTAATAGAAACCGAATGTCTAATTGATGACATAACAATAACAAAACAACAAACAGCAAGCGAGGCTAGTATGAGTGGTAGTACTACGTCCTGCACTGATTAATTTGAGTAAATGAATGAATATTCTATCCATATATGTACATACGTTGACGTTACAAAAATTTTATTTATGATCCTAATACACAAATTTAGGATCCTAATATACGTATGATAATATTCTATACATTTATATTATATAGTTATATTTTTAATCCTCTATTAACCATGTCTGAATCTATCTTGATTCATGTTCGTAAGAATCTTGTTGAATTCCTCAAGTTATATTAAAGTCTGTAATTGTTTGATACGACAATACTTAACTTGAATTGCATCCTTTAGTTAATCTTTACTATATATGTATATATATGTCTCGAAAAGAAGATATACTTGTTTTAATTACGCGCTTAGTTGCCCTTCCTATTTATATCTAAAAACCTATCCTTTGTTAGTATTTTTATACTTCATTTATGTACTGGCACGATTGCTAACGATCGTTAGAAGCACTGGTCAACAGAGGATTAAACACGCGTATAACTTATATAACGAAAAGAATTGATAAATAGTTTTATACTAAATAAATGAAAACTATTTGCAAATTTCACTTCTTGGACAAAAGTTTTTTTTTTATAATAAATAACAATATTTATAATAATTCTACATTATTAATTTAATGTAAAAAAATTTACAAAGAATTTTATTTCAAGCATAAAAATTGTGTTTGAATTACAAATTTATAAGCATGTTATTTTCATTGTAAATATCAATGAATTAAATTCATTATTGTTTCATATTCTTCGATTATAGTTTTTATAACCATCGTATATTTCCTTCGCTTTCTTCTCATTTACATACATATTTTTTTATAATTCCAGGTAAAAAATGTAATTCTGTATACTATATACAATGTATTTTCGTTAATTGTTATATTTTAACAATTATAAATGTAATGCATATTTATAAATATAAATAATTATATTTATAAATATAAACAAATATAATTAATTGTTATATTCCGTTAACAGAATTAAAACATCTTATATTTAAGAAAGTAAAATTTAACGTTTTTTTAGTTATTGCTTTAAACTTTCCGTAACTTATATGTGGAAGTGTAAAATTAAGTTTACATATTCATGGCAACTACAAAATTTTTGCTACAAACTACGTGCTTCGACTAACTAGTTTTATTTCAAGGACTTATTGTTACAAAATCATACTCACGACTTTTTGTCTTTATTTAGCAGCACATGCGTTCTGCTGAATACAGTATATAAAATATACACTGGCGTATTACATTAAAACATTTTCTTTGTATAAAAATGATATATATACAGCACACTCTCACTGTTACACGTATAGTATACGAATATTAGTTGATACTAGATTAATGTTAAGTTACAGTACAGAATTCGGATTATTACAATTCACAAAAGAAATAAAATATCTGTAATACATAATAAACAAATGTAAACAAAATAAATATAAAGAAAAATTAAAATGCACTTTGGACGGTAAGCATTACAAATAATACTGAGAACACATTTTTTGTGGAAAAAAAAAAGAGGAAGTATTTTACACATAACGAAATGTTTTTGGAGATTTAAAAATATTTTATATATGTACAAAATAATTTTTGTTATTAACAGAAAAATAGCATAGCCAATAAACTTTATACGAATGTGATTCAAAATTAATTGATTGTTAGTGATTTTACAATTAATACTAATAAGTAAAGACCCCGATATAACACAGAGAAAGAAAGAAACAAGTAATTGTTCTTGTTTCTAAAATAATAGAATGTAAAAAAAGTATATATATAACATAGTAATATCCTGTCGTGATGTTCAATCTAAATTTCAATGTACATAATAAATATTTATGCACCTCATAGTCTAAAATAATAACAGTCTGCAGTTCGATAGAATCTTTACTACCTCTTATTACTAGCAATACGATTCACATTACTAAGTATTCAAAAGAAATGTCGGAAATACACCTAATACAAATATAATGAGAATTTTTGTTTTAAAAAATAAAAATAAAATATTTCTATATGCTTACATCTCTTCAACGTAATATTTGAACTTACAATCATACATTATATCTTTTATATTATTTTCGCAACAATGTTCTGTATTAACAAAATGAACAAAATGAAGACATTTAATATTTAATTATCAATTAAGAAAAGTTACAGTGATTTTTACCAGTCTGGTATTTTCATTATGAGAGATTCAATAAATTTGTTCAGTTAATTAGTTAAGTTTACCAGTCTCCATTTTATACAGCAATAGTAGAATCATGTTTCTTTTTATCCTTCCTATAAAATTTTTTGTTCCTTTTTTATGACACTTCAAAGTGCACTTATAAGCATAGTTTTACCTATATATATTCTAGCGTTGACATAGCGAAATATCTAAATTCGTAATTAAATAAACCATTCTTTCTTCTTTTGAACTTGATGGCCAGTGGTAGAATGAACCACCGCGGAGTCTGGGTCTAGTGCTATTTCAGCACCTTTATCCTCCTGGGTTAAATATTCGCCTTTATGTCTCGACATATATCGTCCTATAAGTACCGCCATTATAACTAACGCTATAATAATGACAGCCAACACGCTTCCTAAAATCGCAGTATCGGTTTCGTTGTAAGCAGCTCGAACTTTTTCTTCGTCTACTTGCGGTGGTGGACGAGTTTCTATAATATCAGGTGGATGAGTGATTGGTTCCACACCACAGAAATCTTCCGTGAGAGGAGTACCTAAAGAACGAACGTTTCCAGGCCCATCCTCTTGGAATAATAACTTCAAAGGATAAATATCGTCGAATTCCACTCTAGATATGCAACCAGCAAAGCCTTCCGTCATAGACTCATTTCTTCCAATATACATATATTGTATGTTATTAAATTGTGCATCAGCTGAGGTTTTAATGTTGAATGGGAATTCTTTCGGCTCGTAATTATCGACTTGTAGGATAAGCGTTGCTCCTGAATCCTTCCTGCCTACTCTAACATCGTGGTATTGTCCCAAACCGAAGTGTTTGTTAGGGAAAATAACTTCTTGTCGTTCGAAACCAAAGTCGAAAACGACGCGCAAATGACCGCTATTCGATACCATGATCGTCATATATTCTCCAGAGATGTTTGAAAACAGGCCGAGCAAAAATCCTTTAGGATTCGTCGTTGTGAAACCAACTCTAATTTTCTCGGAGATCGTCGAACGCCATGAACCCATGAAGTCGTACTTTATCATTGAACTTGGACGCATATTTACACCAATCTCGTCTGCGCAAATTGGACCTTTGAATGCAGTCCATCGACAGTCGCAAGAATATCCGTCGTATCTTTCGTGGCAAGTGCCATTATTAAGGCAAGGATTGCTCTCACATTTACCCATGCAACCTTCGGAAATTCCATACAAATTTTGACGAGCATAACTTCTCAAGTCTTGCAGTTGACCATTCAAAAGGAGAGCTCTGATACAACCAACATAACCATCTCTGTAATCTGTCGTAGCACCAACTACAAAGTCTGATGTAAGATGAAGCGCTCGCACTGGTCCTGGAGGTTCCCTCACTTCGTTCTTTAATGCTCCGTCGACTACGATTCTAGCTTCCTTGCGATTTCTTTCAACCGATAAGGAATGCCATCGATTATCAGCTAATTTGTACGAGGTTTGTACACTAACCGTTAGTGGACCACCACCTGCTAAATACTGGAATTGAATCTGATTTCCACTATTTATGGAAATCTTTATATAATCGATAGGTCCCTTGCTGTGAATTATAACAGCGTTCTCGATAGTCGTTTTAAACTCGAAATAGATATCACCGCTGTGACCGATATCAAAGGTTGGTAGGTTGACGGTAGCATCAACGATGCGGAATGTTACTACGTTCTTGAATAAATCTACAATAAAACGAAATATTTTATTTACAATACCTTATGAAGTAGAATAAGACATATTGTTATTTATTCAGTATATGGCAGTTTTCTATGTTGAAAAATTATCAATATTTTTGTTCAGTACTTTATCAATCAAGTGTAAATAAATGGAGGAAAGGCTACAAAAGAAAAGCTATTTGAACGTTAATACAAATGTGGATAAGAATCAATGGTTAAAAATGCTAATTACTATTGTGTTACAGTATCTAATGTGTTTACAAAGATACGATTTAGGTGTTTGCAAATTTATTTTACAGCTACGTAAAATATCATTTGATCTTACCGGACCTTACCTTGGTGGTCAACCAAGGTAAATCAGAACCTTATAAACAATTTAAAATAAATTAAATATCCCGGCTTACATGCATAACGTGAGGGAAATGTTCTAAACTTACCATCTCCTTCGCAAATAAGTGGTCCAAGAGTATAACGACCCATTTTGTCGTCCACTGGTGTACCAGTGTCACCAAATCGTAATTGTTTAACTGGAAGATGCTCTTTCTCAGTGATATCTCCACTGTCTTCTGAGAGAGTGTCCAAATCGGCGTCACAGTTGCACCATTTGGTAGGATCTGCACAATTTCCAAGTATACCGCATTCACATTTACGTGAACCAGGCAATGCTCCACCCCAATAGTCCATTTTCTGATTGTTTCTACTGACCCACCACGAGTTTGGTCTAAAATAATCTCCTTGCGGTACTAAAATTACATAAACGTTTATTCAAATACTAAAGATACAATCTTTGTTAATAGAGTAATTACCTGGAGAATTGAACAATTTGGAAAGTCTACATTCGTAACTAATCCTCTGTCTACAATTCGTGGATCGATTAAGAAGAGCTTCGATTTGATCCATGTCCGCATCGTAAATAATATCCTGTACAAAACTACCCGGCTCTTGGAAACCGTCCACAGGTGTCATGCGTTCGTTGTTATGTCGCAAAATCGTTTTCACGCGTCCATCCGTATAGAATTCGCAAACTACTGGGAATGGTTTCAAAGGACCGCTTCCATCGACATCTATTTTGATATCAGCTCGCTGGTTAACTGAGTTTATGTTTTTATACGCCTCGCATGAAAGGGGATTTAAGGAAGTGTGACAAACTGCTCCTGTATATCCTGTGTTGGCACAATCACAGAAGAATTCATCAGAATTTTGACGACACACGCCAGAATGTTTGCATGGATTTGGATTGCAACGATCCATCATCTGGCATGCATCGAAGACAATTTCATCCTTGCAACAATATTCTTCTTCTTTCCAGTCGGTTGGTAGTTTGTAATTGCCGTCGATACTGATCATTCGCATGCAACCAACGAAACCGCGGTTGCTTTCTCTCCCCTTCACGCCACCAATCATATAAACAGGTCCTGTGATCATATTTAATATACGTCTGGTTCTCATTGGTGTTCCGTCGACGTTTAAGACAAGGCTGTTCTTCGAAATTGTTAATATAACTTGGTGCCATTTGCCATCGTTGAACTTTTCATCGAAATTGTCTAAAATTACTTGAGGGCTTCCTTCAGTTTGAATGTCAACTTTCAACTTACCATCTTCCAAAAATAGCTATAAACATATACAACATAAAAAATTATTCTTTATTCTTATTCTTCTAAAAATAAGTCTACAAACCTTTACATAACCAGGTGAAGTAAATTGATGATACAAAATAATTCCTTTATCTTCGTATGTTCTGAAAGTGAGAGAAGCGTTCAAAGAAGATATTCCTTCGTATCCTTTAAGTCTGGCATATGAGCCATGAGTCAAAAATGTGACAGGAATTATAGGTGGTTCTGGACAGCTATAAAGCGTATTCACTTTATAATATCTCAGATTTTCGCCGGTAATTTCTGTTTCTTTTAAATCGCGAATAATGCTAGTTGCATTTAAATAAAAATTTTCTACACATCCTGTAAAATTCTGATTGACCACCAATCCGTCTTGTTTGTTAGGTACACCACCTATGTAAAGCTGATCAAGGTTTTTAAATTAATTAATATTCTAGATTTAAAAATAATAAATAAAAACGTAACAAAGAACATTATTTAATTACTTACTGCTCTATTTAAATCTAGTCTATGAAACTCTCCTTTTATTCTTCCTTTAATTAATACCCTATCTACAGAGAATGAAATATTCTTCCTGTTACGCGATATTAGAACATCATGCCACATATTGTCATCCAAAAGGCTACCGACAGATAAACTGGTCATGATACCAGATCCCAAGTCTATATTTAATATCATTCTATTGTCTTTTAATTGTAAAGCGATGTAATCCCCTTGTGTTCCGCGAGAATACATTAAAACACCATCGGCATTATTGGTTTTAAATCGAAAACGTATAAAATGTCTATCAGTTTCAATTGGTTCCCGCAATAAATCATACCGTAAAAGAGATGAACCATTGAAAGAAAGAACATCGGACACTACAAAAAAAAGGATTAATTAGTTTGGAAAATGTTTTTATAGAATACTTACAATTTTCTGGATAGAATTTACAACTTTTATTTAAAAGTACTTACCGTAACCACATCCATACAATTCTAGTCTTAATGATATTCTATCTCGCCATCGGGTTGGATTTATTCTTATCCATTGTGCAATAATTGGTACTTCGAATTTATTAAGTTTTATAGTATCACCATCTACATTACCTTTAAACATCTATAAAAAAAAAGATGAATGTCCTTATTCAACTAATTAAATACAATCTTTGTTAAAATTGTAATCATTTCAAAAACAAAAACAAATGTTTCTTTTCCATAATGTTGTGTAAAAAGTTTTGATTTTTTGTTAACATTTACATAGCCTGTTAATTATATGTGTTCGTTTTATATACAACATTGATATCTAAAATTTTGATGCATAAATAAATTAAATATAAATTGGTATTTTAGCATGCTTTTTATAGTTATGTTAGTATAGCATTATTTATAAGTGCATAAGCATGAAAGCAAATGTTTAACATTCTATTAAAGTATCTCATATGAAAGGAATAAATTATTAAAATAATTATATATGTGTGTGCAGTGTTTAAAAGATTTGAGTTGAACAAAATACTCAAGAATAGAAAAACAATCTTCAAGCTACATGCTTGAGGATTTATCAAAAATGAAAAGAATCATACACTTTGATTTTTTAAACATAAGATTTAAAAATTTATTAAAATATAAAAGCAGAATTATAGTTCCTCCACCAATAAAACAGTAGCACTTCTGCTATGTGTATCTCATTGAAAATATATAATTTTAGAAATAACAAAGTTATTCTTTTATTTAGAGAGATAAAAATATGTTGATATGTACAGCATGTAAAACATATTACATATGTACAATATCAATTGCATGTACAAATGATATTTTGGACAGAAAAGTTCTACGTTTTTTTTTTATAATCAATATCTCTATTAATACCTCATCTACACCATCTTGGCTTTCATAACTGGCCCAGGCTTGCCCATCATCAGAGTATTGGACAATATACTCTGTCACATATTCATTAGTATGAGCACGGCCTCGTGTAGCTATGCTGCGTATTTCATATCTGTCCACCAGTTCCACAGTAAGATGTTGATCATAACTGCTAAGCTGTGGTGACCATGTAGAACCTCCTGCAAAGCCCAGCCCCATGTCCATGTGTAAAAGAAAAAGAGTAGAAGCAAAGCAGTTAAGTAGGAGAAAGAATGTTATGAGTCATAGGATAATGGTAACATGATAATTATCATTTGTTTTTATGTTTCAATAAATGAACTGTAAGGAATATTTTATATTCTAACATATATTTAAATAATTTGGAAATTGAATATGAAATGTATAAGAAAGTCTTAGTTGACGTGTATTCATTTATACAAGTACATAAGCAATCTAGCAGTGTGTAGTAAACATGCAAATAGTACCTATCTAACTAGAAATTTTTATGATACAACATTATGAAAATTCATTCATGCTAAACATACTTGCTAAACATAACTAATGTGATAGCAAATTTCAAAACCCCAGCCTTTTGCATTGTCATAGTGCAATGAGTTTTTGTTAGTTATTAATTTATATTAGTAACTAAATGCAATTATATACCTCTTTCGACAAATCCGCTCATGGATTATGGCTGTATTAGCACAGACACTGAGTCAATAATTGTATAAGAGTTTACCTTAACGTTACCATCTTCTTCTTTGTAATCAACGTAGTCCAGTCCATTTGTACCATAATTGATAACATATTCCATAACATACTCATTTTGTACTGCTCGTCCCTGGGTCGCCACAGCTGTGATGTTCATTACTTGACCCAGGTCGATTATAAGGTACTGACCAAAATCTGAACTGCTAGCCGTCCATGCGCTTCTGCCTACGCCACAACATATACGCATGCATGCAACACTTAAGGAAGCAATCGTACTTAACAAAGTAGGGCTATCAGAGAATTAAATACTACTATAATTATCATTACAAGTTGTAACTTAAGATAATTATAACATAATTAAAGTAACAATCAACCATTTTTATTGATGATATCTTACTTAAATGGCATTTCTGAAAGTCTATTAAAATAGTTGAAAGTAATATTTTTTGAAAGAAATAAATGTATACGAGTTGAAGATATGATGTTATATGTTATTTGTAGAAAACTCCCTTTCCCAAGCAAAAGAGAGGAAATACATAAGAGTAACAGGTTTGTGTATTGTATACACGTAAAATAAATAAACTTAAAATTGTTTGTCACAGCTGTTGTTGTTCTTAAATTGAAATGTATAATTATAATAATTGTGTTTTTCTTTCAAAAATTTTGAATTTTTTAAAATTTTCTATTTAAATTGATAATAAATGATCTTATACGTTTGTATGAATGTTTAATTATACATATAAAACTATGAGTTCTATAAGAAGGTAAAATAAAGTTTGAACACGTATTTCTAATTATTTTTATTAAACTCACTAACTAAATGCAAATGTTATATCTGTCCATCATTATTACACATATATAAATGTATTATTTATAAAAAAAATTAATATAATAATATTATATACAATAAACTAATACAAAATCTATAGTTACGGATGTTCCACTTTTTTGAAATATTCCCGTGTAAATTCGGGATCTTGTGGAAATAATGGGGTAGCATTTGCTAAGAGTGTAGTACTGTCTATAATTTCAAATATTCTTTTTTGTGAGTTTGGCGCTATCCCATTTTCTTGTAATGCTACAGCAACACAGTGTTGTGGATTCAACAATGTTTCCTCAAACAACCAATTTTGTTTTACATCATTTATATACAAAGCTGTATCAGTTGTGATAGAATTTTCCACAAGTTTTGAATTAGTTTTAAAAGATATTGATTCAAGATCAATGGTAATACCTCTACCTATAGCTTTTACATAGCTTTCTTTCAATGCCCAATGCCTGCAGAACATACTGATTTGATCAAACTCATTAGGAAATATCTTAATCTCTTTCCATTCCGAGGGCGAAAAATTTCGATTCATTATACGGAAAAATTCAGGCAATTGTTTGCCACCAGTATATTCAAGTTTCATTACATCTACACCTAAATTCATATTTTTCGTTTCACCCGCTAAGACTGTATAATTACCCTGATGAGATACATTAAACGACAAGTTTAAAGAAATATTTTTTAAAATGGGCTTGTTATTTGTATCTCTCACAAATATTATACCAGAATACGGTATATGTCCATACTCATTAACAAACTTTCTCATCATTAATCTACCTACAAGAGAAGCTCTAACATCTTTACGAAATACAAATCTACTTAATCTTTCTTTCTCTTCTAACTGTATGCAAGAAATAGCATAGGTAAAGTCCTTTTCACTAGGGTTCCATTCCTTCCAATTGAATGCCCAACGAATACTTTGAAACATGTTTCCTAATATTAATTTTAACTTTGATCTACTAACTGAGTAACGTTTCACAAACTGTTATTCGCCTCTTTTTTTGTTAAAACACTGCTTTTTAAAGGATCTTGTCTTTTAAAAGACCAGGTTATTCTTTAGCATCCACCTGAAGCAAATAGATACAAGGCATTGTATTACTTTTCTAGTGAGTAACAACATTTATCTTTTTGTTTATTGATATATTCATTGATAAATCGTCTACTACATAATTATTGAATTGTCCAATAGGCAGAGCTCTGAATGAAAATCAGATGTACAGAATAACTATGCAATGAGTCAGTGAGTTAACTTCACCCAATTCAGACCTGAAGTTCTTATAATTAGCTGATGTATGTGGGTGTTGATAAAAATGAGCACTCCTTTACTTTGTATTTTTTTGAAGCAAACCGAACATTTACGTTTCAACTTAAATATAAAAATACGTAAATATGTGGATAACATACACTACCTGTATCATTGTTAAACTTAATTATAAATACAGATGAAAAAGAAGCAATCTCAGTAATAGGTATACATTGTCGCATAATTCTTTGAAATATAATATATATATATGTATATATATAGATAGCAAGCAATAAACTACAAATTGTCAAGTGTTTTTAAACCGTATAGTACGAAGAGGATAACGTAAGAAACTCGATTGAACAATGGTACTTCAGAAAAATGTGCAGTACATAATACTAGGGGAAAAAAAAACAAAAATCAACGAAACTTTACCATTGAGCCTGGCATTTTTCGGACCTCTGTTAGACAACGATGTGGTAGCTGTTAGCTGCGCTCTGTCCAAAAGCGGCTCGTTACATTCATCATCTAATTGAAAATTACATCCAAATTAATAACATGATACGCGATATCGAGGATCGGGTATCGCCGATAGTAATTCAATACAAACGCGTTCGTTTTACGTAACGCAAAATACCTATCGATCCTTAACAACACGATTAAAGAACTTTATTTTATATAATCGGTGTATAGTGTATCGTGCTTACTTAACGATATACGCGTGTACATTATCGAACGACAAACGTAACGCAATGTACATTTTCTAAATTATAACATTTAACTCTCAAATAGCTAGGCGTTGACACGTCTGGACGGACTGGCTGGTCGTCAAAAAATTGACTTTCCGTAAATCTGTCATACATCGACTCTAATTCTACGCCATGTTGTAAAGTGGGCTTGGCTGCATTGAATCACCTTCGGGGAAAATGATTTCCCTCGCTATCGTTGGGAAAATATTTCATACCCGTTCGGGATGTTAACGTATATACTTACACGCAGACGTGAGTGAGTTACTCGCAATCGCAAAAATGAACACAAAACACCTGACGGTACTCATCGTATCATTGCCCTTTCGAAGAGCAACATACAAGCCACTTGCAAACGAGACGCGTTGTTGAAACTGTTACCGATTCTCGCCAGTGTTCGCGTGTTACGCACACCAGGGACGAGCGGTGGCCAGCGGTGTCAGCACACAGCCCTCACTCACGCTCGCACACACACACACGCCAAACTACTGCATTCGTGTTACGATGCATACATCGCATCATTTTGATCACGTTACTTATTACCACTGAGAGCTATTTAAAACGGGGCAACTATGCGGAGATCACACGGAGAATATTGAAAGTTTAGTTCATTATCCAAAAAAAAAAAGATATTTTTTCCTGTATTGGCAGAATTTCAAAATGCGAAATCTATGTACATAGTTTTAAAATGTACTGTATGACGATGTGTTAGCTTAGTTGTTATTTTTGTAGCGTGTATATGTATATCTGCGAAATTATTTTTAATTCTTATAAATACTTATAATTTGATAAATTACTCTTAATAGATATACATATATTGAGATATATGTTAATGCATATGTTTCGTTTATTTGGAAAATATCTAGAAAGTCGTTGACAGTCAATGACTTCATTTCAATTCTCAGTGCTGACGTTTAATAACATGACTCAGTGCTGGTGTTTAGTAATGATTTATTCGTTGTTTTATCAAATGATTTTAGACTTATTGTTAGATTAATGTCGGGATACGTATGTATGTAATGTAATGTAATGTAATGATGACATTACATATGTAATGATGATTTCGCTTATAAATTTCGTTTATGAATAATGTTCAGTACATTACTTGATTCGAAGTTGAATGTGGACGTAACAGAAGCGTCATACTTTCAGATAAAATGCAAATCAGTATGAAATTTTAAAAATTTATTATAATTTTCAATTTTGAAACGGACATTCGATCCATTGAGCAAAATTTAAATATCTTTATTCGAGCACCTTATAAGTTAAACGGAATATAAGAAAAAAAAGCTTGGAGTCTAATTAATAAGATGCAATCATGAAAGTTTGTAAATTAATTCTTCTAATGAATTTTTTTCATAATTAAAAATTTGCTCAATTTGGACATTGAAATACCGCCACGTAGCGATAGAATGGTGGAACTAACGTCTCTTTCTGTCTCTGTTGCACGGTACTTCTTTCCTTATCTATCACACAGCGTGTATCTGTCCTTATTCTACACTCTTACTCTCCTTGTCTATCACAAGGCATGTGTTGTCCTTGTCGTACACTATTGCCCTCCTTGTCTACAAGAAAAGGATATGTGCTGTCACCTACCGAAGATAACTGAAACTAAGATGTGTTACCGGCCGCGGATATAGCGATTGTGATAATTATTTATATTTGTATCACAATGCTATAAATAAATAAATAACTCCGTAATTGATTTTTGTTGTTTATATAAAAATACCAATATCACAAAATATACAATTACTAATAATTTAATGAAGTTTACATAATAGAATTTAAATGACGAAATGACGAAATAACGAATAACGAAATAACGAATGAA